GCTCAAAAGATATATTAGATGAATACATCTGAACGGACTAGAAAATATGTCACTCAGAGAAATCAAGATATCAAAACTGTGCAGCGTACCTGGTCTTGCCTCCATCCTTTTACCTGAACACAAGAGATAGTTAACAGGGAGCATTTGAATATGTATGGCATGCTGTCATTGAAATAAAAACTCTGCCTATGAAAGAAGCCTATTCAAAATGCAAAAATAAAGAATGGGTACTATGGTATTTAGATAGATTTTAATTCAGTGCAAAAATGACAACTAAGAAAGAATGAACAGGAAGCTGATAGAATTTACATATGCTGGGAACTTGGACTGAAGTAAGAGAAATCAGTTGAGTGAAAGATGATCATCAATAATGTTTAAAGCAACTGGAATGTGTTTTACTAGCAGGAGAAGCAGATCAGTGAGCAGATTAATTTAGAAAATGTTAAATACCATTCACTGAAAAGTATGCCAAATTCCATGTTCACTTAAACTACAATCTCATCAAAGTTTGCAAATTAAGACTGGCTTCATAGAGATAACTAATTCATTCATTCATGCATTTTCCTGACTGTTAATTAATGGTGGGTAAAACATTTGTGTGACCTCTATCAATAGCTAAAGATTGCATGGTGGCTTGGAAACATTTTTAGAAATATTTGTCCTATCATAGGTCTTACATAAACTGTCTTTGTATCTTTGAAAGTACATTATAATTTTTCTAAGAATACTTTTAATTTCATATTTTATTTCAGATTGTTGCTATGCAAATTGTGTATTCTTCTTGGAGCAGCTACTTGAAAGTCTGTATTTGAACACGTTTAGAATTAAACAGCAAAGCAGGCAGTGTCTGTTATTGGAATGAGACATTAGAGATAGTGTAGCAAGGATGAATATATTTCTTCTGGATATCTGATATCCATGCTAGTTTGGTTACCATAATTTAAAAGGATCCAACTGACATTAAGTCTATTGCTTATCCAATTATAAAGGATAAAATATGCAAATGTGAATAAGGTCACTGTAAAAATGAGATCTGTATGTACTATCCTTACATTTCTTGGCTTACAAAAGTGACTGGGGACTGAACCTATGAATATGACTTATAACATCTTTTTTATGTCAAGATTAATTATATCATGACCAAAACCAGTGGACATGATACCTAAAATTTATCCATGAATTCCACTATATCAAGTTAAGATGACATTTCAGGGCGCAGCATAGGCTGTTGCTGGCCCTTTTAGAATATTTTAGAATATTCTACACTACTACTTGATAAAATAGAAAAAATGTGGGTTACAGCATCACCACCAAGCAGATTCATAACTGGCTTATCAACGGCACTCAGTATTTAGTCCTCAATGGAACTACATCTACATGGAGAGAAGTATGCATTACAGTATCCCAAGGCTCTGTTTTAGGCCCAGTACTCTTCAACATCTTCATCAATAATTTGGGCAAGGGATTAGATGGGGAACTCATCAAATTTGCAGATGACGCCAAGCTGGCAGGAATAGCCAACACTCCAAAAGATAGGCTTAAGATACAGAAGGATCTTGATAGACTTGAATATTGGGTGCTAACTAACGAAATGAAATTCAATGGTGAAAAAAGTAATGTTCTACATTAGGCACAAAAAACAAAATTCACAGGTACCTCACTCAATAGTAGTAACTGTGAGAGGCATCTTGGAATCCTAGTGGACAACCATTTAAATATGAACCAGCAGTGTGCAGCAGCTGCCAAAAAAGCCAACACAGTTCTAGGCTGCATAAACAGAGAGATAGAATCAAGATCACATGAAGTGTTAATAATACTTTATAATGCCTTGATAAGGCCATGCTTGGAATACTGCATCCAATTTTGGTCACCATGATGTAGAAAAGATGTGGAGACTCTATAAAGGGTGCAGAGAAGAGCAATAAAGATGATTAGGGGAATGGAGACTAAAATATATAAAGAATGGTTGCTGGAAATAGGTATATTTAGTTTAATGAAAAGAAGGACTAGGGGTGACATGATAGCAGTGTTCTGATATCTCAGGGGTTGCCACAAAGTGAAAGCACCAGAAAGCAGGACAAAAAGTGGATGGAAAATAATCAAGGAGAGAAGCAATCTAGAACTAAGAAGAAATTTCCTGACAGTTAAAACAACTAATCAGTGGAACAATTTGCCTCCTGAAATTGTGAATGCTCCAACACTGGAAGACAACCATTTGTCTGAAATGGTATAAGGTTTCCTATATAAGCTGGGCGTTGGACCTGAAGACCTCCAAGGTCCCTTGCATCTATTCTGTTCTGTTCTGTTCTATTTATATCTCTCTCTCTGTCTGTCTGTCTGTCTGTCTGTCTATCTATCTATCTATCTATCTATCTATCTATCTATCTATCTATCTATCTATCTATCTATCTATCTATCTATCTATCTAGATACACACACACACACACACACACAAAACATTTAGTACATGTGAAGAGTGAATTATCCAAATGAACATGGATAAATATTTTCTTTCTTTCTTTTTTTCTTTCTTTCCTTCCTTCTTTCTTTCCTTCTTTCCTTCTTTCTTTCTTTCTCTACTTACATATCACAAACATATACACACACCGATACACCTATTGGATTCTTTCTCAGTTTGCAGTCTTCATTTCCTAGCTATCAGTCTCTGCATCTTCCTTGTCCTCCTGCCTTTAGGCCATTACAATAAAAACCAATTTTAAAATAAAGAAAAAAGAAAAGGAAAAGCTCCACTATTTTCCTAGTTCACAAGAACAATAAAGGTTCACTGTTTCAACACTGATCTATTGGATTAATGGAGTGGCAAGGCTAGGCAAGCAAAGCAAAACAGAGCAAAGCAAAACCAGACTCCAAAACCATAGCTGATATTGCCAATAAAGAAATGCCCATAGAAAGTAGCAGTCAATGACTGAAAAAGATGAGGAGTTTGTCTGTCACAAATGCGCTAGCCAACTGGAGTAGAAGCACAGCCTACAACAACACGAAGCATGGCAGACAGAACAAATAGTATCACTTGTTCTGGCAGCAATGGCAATTGCTACTTGATGAGAAGCAAGCTGGGGAGAGCTTGAGAAAAAATGTCTTGCACTCATGACCTCCAGAAACAGAAAGTGGCCAGCAGGATTTATGGGTAAGCCCTCAATAAAATTTATATGCAAATAGCCCTCTGCACAGAGCTACAGGGGTGGAGTGCATGTCATACTTTATGATAGCTATGAACACAATTTAAATCCCGACTGTAGAAATAAAGCAAAATGTAGAAATAAAAAGGGATCGGGTTATGCAGAAAGGAAAAGACTTGGTTTCATTCAGCTACAACAAATAATGTAAACAGGCTGTGCCATAAATAAAAGAAATTGGGATTATCTACTCCATTCAAATGGATATGTTAAAGTGGGTTTNCGTTAAGATTGAGATTGTCTTGGCAACGTTAATGGAAGCCATCGAAATAGAGAAACACCCCCATAACATGAATAAATGTGATGATACTTCCCATCTACCAGACATCTGGAAACTAGCCCTAGTCAACAAACGATCCCCATCCACCACCCAGGCCATTACAACACGAAACAACAACGGACACACAGCCAACACCAATCAGCACCAATCTACCAATCATGATACAACCACACAACCAATCATTCCACTTATTGAAACAAACCCAGCACTCCACACAGCCCCACCAATATTTATAGAAAGATGACAGCTCCGACTATGCTTTAAGCCCAAAACCCAGCTTGAAGATGGTGAGTGAGACCTCGCCGAAACAAAACATATCTGTCTGTCTGTCTGTCTGTCTGTCTGTCTGTCTGTTTGTGTGCCAAAAGCAAAGAGTCTGCTTGTCTGTATTCTGAATGACTTTTAATTTCAATAGAAGATGGATTATATGTGTATATCTAGGCATATCAGGCAGTTCCATAGCTATTTCCAAATGCTCATACAAAAAGATCCAAACCTACCCTGTTTTCCCCAAAATAAGACCTCCCCAGATAATAAGCCCAATCGGGCTTTTCAGAGCATGCACTAAAATAAGCCCTTCCCTGAAAATAAGTCCTCCCCAAAAATATTGCAACACAGCAGCAGCCATGAGGTGACCATGCTTGCTGCCTCCTCTGCTCCTCAAAAATAATAAGACCTCACTGAAAATAAGGCCAAGTACTTATTTCGGGGTCAAAAGAAAATAAGACCCTGTCTTTTTTGGGGTGAAAGAAGGTATTAGGAAAATAAGAGTTGCATCATGTCAATGCAAAGCTCCAGATCCAATGTAACTAACAAAAGTGTGATATGAGTAGAATGGTCTAATTTTAACAATATCTGCATATAAATTTGATTTTATAAAAATATTTATAAAAGATTGTAAGAATTTTAGACCCATTGTGAAAGAATGAGTTTTTTTCTTAGCTATGCAAGGTACTATGACAGAAAGATTTATTTTATTTATTATTTTATTTTGCTTTGTTTTGTTATATTTATTATTTTTTTATGCCCATCTCCCCTATCAAGTGACTCTATGTGGCTTTAATGACATATATGTTGTAACTTGATTCTAAATTTCTGAGATACAATAATATGAATGAAATCTGAAGAGGACATGTTACAATTTTCGTATTTGAGTATAAAAGCCATTGCTATTAGCAAGCAAATTATGGGTTCATTATCCTGTTAAATTCTTTTATTTCCTAGGCATTTCCCATGTGAAAAATACTCTTTTGGCAACCGTAAAATTCATGAAAGCCAAATAACTGTTTAGGTAAGTATGCCTTAACGTGATTTCCCCACTCCCGCCTATGGAAAATGGGGATCCATTTTCCTCACATAGAAAATGAAAAAAAAATACTGCTTAATGTGTACTTAAATTTTATTACTTGAATTTGAACCAGGCCCATATCTTGATTTAACATATGTGATTGCTCTAGTTAGAATGGCAAAAATGTAATTATAATGCTATTAAAAAGGTCAATAGATTGCCCTTAATCACTTACATTGATGTCTTCTAAATCTAAACTCTTCAGAGCGACATTGTTCCGCTTCCAGATGATTGGAGGTCTCAAGGTGCCCTGAATGGCACAACTTAGAACTGCACTTTGTCCAACTATCGCAGCCGTAATGCTTACTTTCTGATCTTCTGGCAGGCTCAGTTGTATTACTTCTGTAAAAGATATGTTGCATTTAATGCCAGTTTGCACATAGAAGGTCCATACCTAAAGAAATGTTAAGTTTGAAGCTCTATCTCTCACCTTATTTTTAGCTTACTCAAGTCTAAGACACCACACCTGGGTTATAAAAATAACTAATGGCAGCAAGACAATAATTTTAAAAATAGCATGCAATTGCCCTCTAGCAGCTGAATATTTTGGGGGGGGGGGGGCAATCCAGAATATCTATCTCTAGGATGCAAGATAAGCTTAAGGAGAAAATGATAATGTAGGATACACATTACAGAGATGTAAGGTCTTAGAGAATTGTACCCCTATGACTCTTATACTGTACATTTTGTGATATTAATATTACACTCACTCCTCACTCATTTCCATGAGAAATGCAAACCTGTGGACAACATTGGCTGCAGTCCACAAGAATACATTGAATTCTAAAACTGTCAACATTATTCTATGTTTACTCCTGTAATTTAATGCTTTTTATTTTGTTAATGTTTGAAGGAGTAAAACAAATACCCAAGCCAAAACTCCACGCTACCAAAGCCTCTTAAACTAAAGTCAGCATCCTTATTAGCTTGCTTAGGTATTTGCAAATACTAGCTCACAAGTGATCTTATATCAGAACTTGTAACTTCCATTTTATCAGTATAATCAGAAATTTTAACCAGTATTACCGTATTTGTCTGAATATAAGACACACCAGAGTATAAGACACACCAAGGTTTTGAAGAGGCAATTTTTTTTNGCAGCCCTTGCTGCAGAGGCTTCTCAGGAGCAGAAGCGCTCCTCTGCTCCCCTCAGGGGTTGAGCCACAAACCGCGGGTTGTTAAAACGCCCTGGAAAGCCTGTGCTGGCAGCTATCACCAGTGGACAGACGCCCGGAGGTCGACTTATTCGCCACGCCCCTCAACGCTCAGCTCCCGAGGTTCTTCTCCAGATATCAGACATGGGGGGCAGAAGGGGTGGACGCTCTGCGAAGCCCCTTATAATATATATTATAAGCAATTGAAGGCCAAAGCCATTTTGACTAAAGAATGTAATATATCTTCATATCTCTAAATCAATCTAAAATACTTGCAAAAGTTTGTTTCATTTTTGTGGATGTTGCCTACTCTTTCATCTGATACAGTAAAACAAAACAAAACTAAATCATCTTTCTATAAGACACAAATGTTCTAGATAGCATTCTTCAGCACCTGTTATCTGCCTTTCTTTTCTGATCATTTATCCTGATATGATTAGTATAATTATGTCACTGATGACATGCTGTGCGAGAAAATACAGGTATGTGTGGTTTTTGTCATGTGACGTAAAGTCAGCTATCGCTGCTAAACAAATGTAGCGTAGTTCGTAATTTATGTGAAGCTCAAAAGCAAGCTTACCATCTCTAGAGTTATAAATAGTTGTATCAGAGCACAGACTTTTAAAGTGCTGAAATTGCCTTTGAAAGAGCCACAAATGAATAGGTAACCACTGTACAGTATAGCACATTCTCTGAATAAATTCATTTGAAGTTTCACATCTCTGTTCCCCAATCCAATTTAGAAGCCCAGTTCCCCTCAGTGGAGTTATCCAATTACTCTGCTGTTCCCTTGGGCTTTAATTTCTATTTAAGCAAAAAATAAAGAAATGACTTCATCACAGCTCTGTGCACAACAATTCAAAGCTGGAAACTATATTAGGTGTCAAAATTTAGGAGGGTGTTTAATTCATAACAGCGCTGGAACAAAAGCCCCAACTACATGCAAAATAAAAGCTAGTTACACTTTCAGGTAGCTTTACAAACTGTAATTAGGATACTCACAAAATTCAGTTTTACTGATCTGATCAACTATACCAGTCATATCAACATTACTCTTTATTCAAGATTAAAAACTCTAAAGCAGATTGTATCTTAATTTTAGAGGTATACACTGAAATAATTTATTCAGCTCTCTACTTTTTAATATTTGTTCTAGCAACCACTGCATGAATAAATGGTTAAAAATAAAATAATGTACACCAGACTGCCCTCCAATGGTTACTTACTAATGAATAAGCTCTGCTGAAACCATGAGGATTAAGGCCAGTCTGTAAATTAAATTGTGTATTTTAGTGGGAGCAAATTTTGAAAAATTCTTCAGGGGATCTTTGATGATACGAATCTGACTAGCAATTGGTTTTTTTTTTCCTGAAGGAATAATTTACCATATGGTCGACTAGCAGTCCAACAATTTTGGAAACAGAATAAGTCACAAGAAAGCATTAACTACAGTCTATATCCAAATCCTTGTTCTCTTTACAACAGAGGAGGGAAAGGGATCAAGTATATCAATGGCAAGACAGAGATCAAATCTAGAATCAAATAAAAGTCTACTTGTCACTTGATCCTAAATTTCTGAGATAAAATAACATGAATTAAATCTGAAAAAACAAATGTTACAATTTTCCTATCTGAGAACAATAGCCATTGTTATTAGCAAGCAGGTTCATTGCCCTGTTAAATTTCTTTAAAATGCATACTGTAGATTCAAAAAGAAAAAATACAAACTGCAGTTCTCAATTCCATTCTTGTCATGGACATTCTGATTCTGAAGCTGAAGAGCACCACTTGATAGACTCACAGGTGAGAAGTCAACTGTTAGACACCTGAGCATAATGCCTCAGACCCCATGCAATTAGTACCAATTCAGGGAATAAAGAGTCAGATCCTGAATTTGAGAGAGTACTTAAAATGCACCACTAACTAAAGAGACTCAGTAATAGAAATCAGTCTGGTTCCTTGACAGGAAAGAGTGCCAAATCTTCTAATTAGGGAAGGCATTATACTCAAACTATTTAAAAATATATCTTATGTTCTGTCTTCTTGTTGGAAAAAAAGTCTCCATACATGTTTCTATTTCATTCCTAATTTTTCTCCAGGAGTTGATGGCTCCAATTAATTTCATGGTCAAAAGCAACAAGATACTCACAAAAATTCATCATTTGCTTTGGAGTAAATGATAGTCCTAACGTTTAGCAAGTGATGTTGTCAAGACTTTCATGTCAGTCATCAATTTATATGCTACTTGAGATCAAAAAGCAGATCAAAATTATCCTGGGTTAAAAAAAAATTGTTACATGATGCTATAAAAGTTTTCTAACATTATGCTTTAATCATGGCTGAAAAATACAGCACATTTAGAAAAACTTCCATGATTAAGGCATATGATTGAGGTATAGAATAAGGATAAAAGTTTGGTGTTTTTTAATTGATCAATATATAAATATAAGAATAGTTTATGGCATTTAAAAAACTTGGAATATTATATATATCTTAATGGGGAAAAGTGTAACCTGGATTAATATGTAAATCTGTCAGGACAATGTCATCCAACAACAATGTGAAAACATGGTGCTTTGGTGAGTCCTTACTCTTATTGGTGAGAGCAATGATAATATTAGGTGAAAAAAATCTTTCAGCAACATATACAGGTGAAACTTGAAAAATTAGAATATCGTGCAAAAGTTCATTTATTTCAGTAATTCAACTTAAAAGGTCAAACTAATATATGAGGTAGACTCATTACATGGAAAGCAAGATAGTTCAAGCCATGATTTGTCATAATTGTGATGATTATAGCTTACAGCTCATGAAAACCCCAAATCCA